CAGCTTAATTGGGAATGTAGCCCAGAGTGTTCCTCTAAACCAAGGATGGGCAACCTTTTCAGCAACCTGGGTGTTGTAGGCAGTGCAAAAAGGTGGGCACAACTGTGCTTGCATGTATATTGTCCCTCCCTGCCCCCCCAACTCACACACACAAGGGGATGGAATGCCAAGGGACATGGCAAAAGACTCTCCCCCTGTCCCCCAACAGTCTTGCTGGCTTTGGGACTGCAGAGGTGAAAGCTTTCTTTCCCCACTGTCAGTGGCTCCAACTGGATTGGTGCTTCTGAAAACAGCGATCCAGGATGCTTTGGCATTGTTGAAGAGGAGGCTTTGGACCTGCAGCAACCCCTGTTGGGAATCACTGCTTCCTTTTCACCATTAGCAGGAAAAAAAATAGCAACCCTAAACTGTGTTAGGGTTGCCCTGCCAGCACAAATAGCAGGGCCAAAACAGCAGCTTTTTCCTCATCTCAGCACATTCAGGAAACAGTTGGGAATACTTGTGCTCAAAGGAGCTGTGGCAAGGGGGTGATGTGGCCCATGGGCCAAAGGTTGCCCACGCCTGCTTTCAGCCTGGGTCAAATCCTCTTCCTACCACTTCTGCCTTAACTAAGCCACTTTGCCCCCTTACTGACATACAAAATGGCACCCTTAGAATCCTGCCCTGGCATCCCAAGCAAAGTTCCCCCTTGTGCCAGTCTGTCCACTCCTCTTTCCCCAGGCCATCATGGTCACTTCTGCTTCCTCTCCCCCAATCATTGTTGCTTCCTTCATCTTACATACTTTGCCTATACGGTATTTATATGCAACTTATGGAACAATTTCTGTCCTTCAAAAGAAATGAATGCCTTCCACTCTAGTGGGGTAGATGGTAATTAGGTCATCTGTATGCCTGCACAGTCCACTGTCCAGATGCTAAACATGGATAAGGGACTTCAAAGCCCCGGTGCCCTTGTTCCCTTCTTGTGGTACTCTCAAACTGGACTTGGACTGGCCAGCCCTTCAAAGAGAGGACTGGCTTCCTTCAGGTGGATTCATGGCCACCTTGTACTCCTGGGGACAAATATGCAATGCTGAAGAACTCTTGACATGGACTTTCAGCCAGTTCCACAGCTGTTAAATATACAAGAGAAGGCTGTCAGTAAATAATAGGAAAGTTGGCAAATCTTGGCTTCATGAGTGGGTGAAGCACTTGCTGCTCCGCCTCCTCTTCCTTTCCTCCAGTGTTCATTAGCTGCTTGCTTTAGAAGTGAGCACAAATCTGCAATTGCTGTGCCCACTCTCTTTGTTCTTTTATTCATGCTGATGTATTTCTGGACTGTTGCAGTGTTGGCGGGATGTGTGGGTGGATGCCAAATTTGGCTTCAGAGATAAAGCCAAATTTGGCTTCCACCTCCTGCATCTTGCCCAGCCAGTTCCAGCTCTGCTGGTTCTCATCAATCCTGACACTTGGCTGTGGTTAAGAAGGAGCTCTTTTGAGAGCTGGCACAGCGCTGTGGGTAGGATTCAAGAAGGCACTTGTTGAAATCCCACTAGTGCTGCCCAGACCTCCCTAGGTCAGCCTTCCACAACCAGAAACCTTCCAGATGTTTTGGACTTTCATTCCCACCAGCCCCATCCAGCATAACCAATAGTCAGAGATGATGGGAGTTAGTCTCAAACATCTGGGGGGCTCCAAGGAAGACTGCTCTAGGTGACTTTTGGGGAACCATGATTTCTCAGTGGGAAAAAGAATCAGGAGAGTGGGTGAGGCCATCCATGGCTCCTGTGTGCTACCACAGTCACTGGAGGCAGCAGGCCAACATCATCCTCTGCCTATAGCCATTCTGACTAGAGATCATGAACATTGTAGTCCAACACATTTTGAAGGCATGAGATTGAATGAAGCTGGACCCAAAAGTTTTATTCCCTGGCCCACCACCTCTGGTCTTCCAAATCCTCCTTGCTATGAGATTTCCTTTTTGGAAATAGTAGACGCCCTGCCCTATCCCAACCCATAGGTCTAGTTTAATCATAGTCCTATTTTCCTTGCCTCCTCCTCCTTTCAGTCCCCCATCTCCATGGGCTATGCTTTTTAACATACTTCCTAACCTGTCCCATTTGCTCTATCCACCCAGTGTGCTTCCAGACTGTTTTTAATCCTCTGAACAGCTTGCTTCAAACTCAGAATTTGAAGGGAAAGAAGGGCAGATCCAAATGATATTGTCTGCCATTCATAACTATCCCAGGTTTTCCCCCCACTTCTTACATCTTTTCAACTACAACAAATTTGTTGAAGAGAAAAAGACAAAACTCACTGAGGAAAAGCACAGTGCCTGTGGACTGGTAGTGCCAGGAGCCCCTCAGTACCATTTTAAAAGCATCATTACTCTGTTTTTGCCCCCTATAGACTTCACCAGCAACTTAGGCCCCTTCAGAGTTCTTCAAAGACCCCTCTGTTAAAAGCCTCTTTCTCTCCTTTGGTCCCTTTCTTAGGTCTCCTCTTTCTTAATTCTACTCTTCCCTCTGGTTCATCTTTCTCAATGTGTTGTTTATTTGGTACCCTTCCTATAGCTACAGCAATCTTGTCTCTTGCCTCCTAGCTTACTAAAGCTCAGCTTGACCCAGAAAGTTCCTCCTGCAGGTTGCATGATATTTTCCGTTCCAACCTAGCTGACAATTTGCCATGACATCACCGAATCTGGGTAGCAGTCACAATGCCATCATATCAGTTGAGACAAACAGTATCCAAGGCAAAACACCTGGTGGCTCCTTACAGGTGTGGCACACAAGCTGATACCATTGAGATGTGTTGGAATTGGACTACAACTCCCATCATCCTTTGACATGATCTATGCTGAATAGGGCTGATCAAAACTGCATTCCAAAGCAGCTGAAAGGCAGCAGGTTGCCTACCCGTTTTATAGTATATCCTCCCCAGTCCTGACTTTACTCTCTTCCTTCCCTGAAGAACAGCAAATGCTTGTGAACCAAGAGAACTGCAGAAATGGGTTGAGAGCTCTTTCCCATCTGGTGGAGCAGCAAAAGTGCTTTCTTCTGCCAAGTAATGCACAGTGTGGACCTGTGAGAAGGACATCCCTGGCTCTGCTGCTTCAGCCCTTGTCCAGACTCCAGCTCTGCTGATACTCTTAAATCCAGATTGAGACTGGAGTCACTTTAAGAACCAAGGACATACCTGTGCAGGATCAGACCAAGGGCCACTCATTTACTGTCACCAGTGGCCACAAATGCTGCATGGTGAGGCCCCTTCCTTCCTCTTTAGTTTCCTTCCAGCAGGACTGAACCATTTGTGGCATTCCAGATTCATAGCATCACAACTCCCATCAACATGGCATCTGTGATTCAGATGTATTCTGAGGAGTTCTGTTTAGCTGTTCTATATTCAGCTATACACTGAACTAATTGGCCAAGTGCTGTAGCCAAATGAGCACCATCCACTCAAAAGTTTGCAGAAGTGCCAACCACTCCCACCTGTAAAAGCAAAGAATGTACTTGAAGAGGGGGAGAAACCCCAAGACATCTTAGTGAGGCAAAGAACACACAGAATGAGCTCAAACAATAATGTGCACACATTTAACTGTCACTGAGCAATGTCTGAACCCAGATACATTTTAAAAATTGTTAACCACAAAAAACCCATGAAGTTAATTCATGTTTCTTTTTGGGTTGTGCACTGTGTGTTGTTTGTAGTTAATAAACCATGGGTTGTTACAGCAGCTGGGTTCAGACTTGATAACCCACAGTTCAATGACAGCTCGTAGTTCAGTAACAACCAACAGTCAAAGCCTTAATCCACACTTGAGTATCAGAACAAGTTACAGTGTTTTTTGGAGGAAGAAATGGAACACCATTAAGCAGGGAGATGGAATGGAGTATCCTGGAAGAGTATGGCTGATTGGCAAGTTTCACTTGTTAATAGTAACTAATAGTGCTAACAGTAACAAGTAGCAACTTGTTAATAGTCATTCCATGAGCTCCAGCTTATGTTTTGTTCCTGTTCCTCCTCCAGGTCTGGATTTTGGGTGAGGACACAAAATCCTTCACTGGCCAGGGAACGCCAAAGGAACTGAAATTACTGGTGAAAGGTGGGACAGAGGGCTAAACAAGACTGATAAAATGGAAAGTTATCTGGCTGTCAGGGTTAAAAAAAGAAGAGCCAATAGAGTCTGTTTGGCTGAGGAGATCCAGAAAAGTTCCAGGTGACAGCATTTAGAAAACTAAATTGGATCAGGATTTACCAGGGCTCAGCCCCCAAACTTTCTTATAACACTACAGCTCTCTGTTCTAGGGTACATGAGGCAAAAAATGGAAAATTAAGGGGGCCCTCTGAGCATGTGCAGAGTACTCTCTGTTCACTATGCAGTAAACACAGCCAGCTCTCATATATCTGGGATTAGCAGAGAGGAGCCACAGGTCACTGGTGTCTAAGGTCTGTGTCTACTCCCGTTACTCCCGTTTGTCAAACTGAAGCCTGCAGCCAGCCCGGCAGGGAAGAGCAGGGCTGTTACCTCCCAAATGTCCACTAGAGGGGAGTATCTCAACCTCCTTTGGTAAAAGCAGTGTTTTTATTTTAGGCAAACGATGGATTCTTTTCATTGCAGCATGGGGCTGTTCTGCGTGGTTTCTTCCCGGACAAACACACCCGAACACTCTCAGGGTTGTCCGACTCAATCACTTTATTCAAAATGTCTTTTTCCTGCCCCCCAGGGGCTACACTGTCCCAGGGGCTCTCTGACTCTCCCCTCTCTACTTGACTATGACTACACAGTGAGACCTTGGCTAAAAGCACCCACGCACACATCCAGGTTCCTGGTGTCTTCTATAGGAAGTGCAAATCGGTGTGCAAGTGAGTGGAAGGAGGAAAGGCTGGAGGCAAGGACAGGGAGGGAGGAGGCCCGAAAGCCCTGCGCCTGCACCCCAAAATCCGTGAGGAGGGAAGGTTTCCCGCCAACGGCTGGACCAAGAGGCGGGATTGTGCCTGCCCACCTGGCCCCCCGCTCTTCACGGCTGCCGCCACAGGTAGGTCTTGGAAGTGTCAATCTGGCCGGGAGGGGGGGGCAGCAGGAGCGCGCGCCCTCCCGCGGCGGGGGGAGGCCGAGGATCCGGTGTGGGCGGGGCCAACTGGGCAAGGGGGGCCATGGGCAGGGGCGGCTCCCCCTCGGCGTCCCACAGGCTGATCAGCGGGGGGTAGACCTCGTTGAGAGGAATGGCGGCCGCGTGCTGCATGTACTTCTTGAGCGAGTGGCGGCAGCCTTTCTCCTTGAGCCGCCGCGAGGCGCAGAGGAGCAGCAGCACGGCGCTCAGGGCGGCGAGCAAGGAGCCGGTGACGGCGGCCAGCGCTGCCCCTCCGGCCCAGCCGCCCATCAGCTCCACGGACAGCGAGGCCTCTTTGGTGGTGACGTTGAGGCAGGAGCGCTGCGTGCGGGGCAACGGCAGGGCGGGCGCGGACGTGGCAGAGGTTGCTGAAGGCCCTGCAGGGGGCGCCAAAGACAGCGCGGTTGCTACGCGGCCCACAGCGCCTGTCGAGGGATCTTTGGAGGTTGCCAAGGAGCCCAGAGAAGGGGCAGAAGCACCGGTGCTTGTTACGACGGTCTCCGCAGAACTCACAGAGGAGAAGGAAGCACTCGTGGAGGATGCCGGGGCAGCGGTGGAGCCGGCAGCGGCCAAGGGCTTGGGGCTGGAGGACACGACTGTAAGGCAAATCTCATAGCGGGTAGCAGGCTGCAAGTGAGTCAAGTTGAATTCCCGGATGCCCACAGGAACCCGTGCTGTGTAGCTTAGGTGGGGGTTGTGGATGCGCATGGTTGCTGACGACCACAGTGGAGGCGGCGGGTGGGCTGTGGCCGAGTTGCCACCCTGCTCATTTTTCTGCCCCTCCGTGAAGGACATTGTCCACTCCACCACCACGAAATGCGACTGCACCTTCTTGGCCAGGACGAGCAGCCTGGCCGGGGTGGCGGGTCTTTCTTCAGTGACAGAGAGGGCCACAGTGTGGGTGGCCGAACCCAGTCTGTTCCAAGCCATGCAAGTGTAGATCCCTGAGTCTGCTGGGCTGGCTGTGCGGATCTCGAGGGCACCCCCCACCCTGAGATGCAGCCTGCCTAACCCCACAGCCACTTTTTCTCCGGAAGGCGATATCCAGTGGAATTGTGGTGGTGGCTCTGAGCTGGCTGGGCAATCCAGAGCCACTGTTGAGCCAGACAATACTTCCAGCTGCTCTTGGGGATATTTCAAGGAGGAGATTTCTGGCAAGCAGGCTCCGTCCATAGCACCTTTCAGGGCTTCTTGGAGCTCTTGCCCAGCAGCTCCTGAGGGTGCAGTGCAGAGGGTGTTTTGGGACTCAATCAACCGGATGTGTCCTGTGGTTAAGGGTTCCCAGGCCTCTTGGCAGTCACACCGCAGTGGGTTTCCATAGAGACTGAGTTCAGCCAAAGCTGGTAAGGCACCTATCAGGCCTACAGGAAGAAGACTGAGGGCTGCATTGCTAGCTAGCAAGGTATGGAGAACCGGCACCCCCTGGAAGGCACCTGGGTGCAGATAGGAGAGACGAGGGTTGTTGCACAGCTCAAGCTTGGCCAATTCTGGAAGGTTCTCAAAGGCACCTTTGTGGATGCTGGTGAGTTCCTCCATGCCGTTGAGGCTCAGCTCCTCCAGGTGCAGCATGTCCCTGAAATCGCCTCTCCAAACCTCTGTGATGGGGTTCTTGTTGAGATCCAAGAATTTCAAGAGAGGCAGGCCCTTCAGTGCCTTGGTGGGGACACGTGGAAGGTGGTTATCATAAAAAGACAAACTCTCCAGGTAGTCCAGGCCTTGGAAAGCATCAGAGGGTGCTTCACTCAGCTCCATCCCAGCCAATACGAGGCTGTGAAGCCTTCCCAGTGGCCGGAAGCTCCCACCTGCCAACTGGGAGATGGGGTTCTCTCCAATCATGAGGATCTCCAGATTGGGGAGGGAGAGGAACCAGTGGTGGTCAATGGCATGGAGACGATTGGCATTGAGGTGCAATCGAAGCAGGCTGGCCAAGCCAGCAAATGCCAGGGGCTCGATGGTGGAGATGCGATTGTGGTTGATGTAAAGTTCCTCAAGGGCTGTGAGGTCACCCAAGCAGTGGTCAGGCAGCTCCTCCACCTGGTTCTCTTCCAAGTAAAGAGTGATGAGGTGGGAGAGGTTGGCCAGCCCGGCATCACTGATTCTGGAGAAGTGGTTCTGTGAGAGATCAAGCTCGGTCAAGTTGAACAAGTGCTGGAGCTCCCCACTGACCCGGGATATCTTATTGCTCTGCAGCAGGAGGACCTGGGTGTCTGAGGAGAGGTTTGCTGGCACGTGGGTCAGCAGAAGGTCATTGCAGTCCACTGTGCGGGCCTCATGGTAGACAGACTGTGGGGTGAACCATGGGCGAGTCTCGCATACACACTGTGGGGGGCAGGGGTGAGCAGCAGATGGGGATCCCTGCAGGAGCAGCACCAGCAGAGCACAGGCGGGGAACCAGGACATTGTGCCCCTGGCCAGGTGAGCTTCCTTGATGTTCCACAGTCTGGGGCTGAGCTTGGGAGAAAAGGACAGTCCTTATCCTTTAGACACAGGTTTAGAGCATCCCATCGAGCAAAGTCATATCTGGAAGAGGACAGAGAATGGATTAGATAGGGAAATATAGGCTTTCCTTCTGCATACTCTTTCTCTCAGTCTTTTTTTTTTTTAAAGCAGGTTTCCAGTCCTCTTTATTGAAGGGAACAATGTGAGTTGCATTTGGTGAGGAGCCAGAGGTAGCAATCAGGAATGTAGCAGTGGTCAAGTGACAAGCCATCATTGCTCTGGTCCACTTTCTCATACCCTCTCCTTATGCCCTACAGAACACACATCCTTTTCTCAAGTCTCCTCTTTCAAATTAAAAAAAAAAACCCTCCATTTTAGAACACAGTAAAATATAGTAGGAACATCTGTGTCCATAGAGAACTTCCATCACCCTGCTCCTCTTCACACCAAACCCTATTCTAACCCCGCCCTGCCCCAGATTATATCTTATTTCTGAATTCAAGTATATGGCATTTTAGGACATCTATTATGATCTTAAGAAGAATGAAACATCAGATGTGTAAATTTGCCAAATAAGGGGGGGTTGCTAATTAATTTTCCAAAAAGCCACAAGAATAAGTTAGCAGGACAAAAACAGATGAACACTCAAATTGGTAGTTTGTAAACCTTCCTTAGGGTGAGGCATTGTGATGTTGGGGAATTGTGTCACTGGCTGAGGAAGTACTATGACCGAGAACTGTGGAAGTCACTGCTGACAGTGCTGGTTTGTGTTTATGCCAGAGGCCGGCATTTTGCAACTTTCCAAAGGTTGCTGCACTCGAACTCCCATTCTCCCTCACAACTGGGTATGCTGCTTAGTACTGCAGTCTAACAACACCTTGGAGAGCCACACATAGCCAGCTCCTGGTTTATTCAAATATGCCCCACTTCCAATGTACTGGCTAATGTGCTGTGATTTCAGAGTGGATGCAGATTGCTCACAGGTAGAAGAAGGGATTCCCAGGACATGCTCTGCTTCCTCAGGGTGGATGTGAGGTTGCATCACTTCTGGTAGCTGGTGTTTAGGGGAGACAGCGGAGTATTTATCCTGATGAATCCTTTCTTGACACAACAAACAGTAGCTGAGAAATCTTCCTCCAGTCAGTGTCCATGTGCCAAACTCTGTCAAATGTTCGCAAGAGCACCCGGGACAGCATCTTTAGCATTGTTGCAGGACATGTTGTTTTTACTCTTCTTGGGGTTCAAGATTTTTCAGCCACCCCAGACTTTGTGGCATGAAAAATCAGAGCACCTGAAGTAGATAGGGTACCAATAGAAGTATTCGAAGCTGCAGAGACTGAATTGGTCCAAATTCTAACAAGATTATGCCAGCTATAGAGAACAGAACAATAGCCCACAATAACGTATGTAACAATGTAATAATGTAATAATAATGTATTCAATATACATTTCAGTCCCTAAGAAAGGAGATGCAGAAGCGTGCACCTATAGTGTAGAATGAACTCTGCAGAAAAACTTTCAGAGCCGTTTTTTCCCCCCAGCGTCTGGACAGAAAAATGTATGCTTGTTTAGAGGGCAATGACAGCTCTGGTCACCTCTATCACTCTTAAAATGTTATATCTGCCTTCAACATAGGATAGGTTTATACAGAATAATTGCTCTCTCAGAGCACATGGACTTTTCAAGAAATGGGTTTTAAATTTTCAGTGAACTTCTCTGAATTGTCATGAGCTGCTCATCTGTGCTCACTAAGCATATTTTCCATGCTAGTGAGAAAGGCTTTTTCATATAGATTCTTCCCACCTTCCTTAAAAAAATGTAGCCTGTTAATTTGCTTTAGCCATAGGTGGAGACAGTGACAAAGAAGACAACCATACAATCATGCCAAAAGGTGAAATATCTCTGACAATGGGTGATTCTGTCCATTGATCAGAGATCACACCGAGAAGGATTCTGTGCTTATGCACCCCATGCGCACTACTGCAATGCATCATCACTACTGCGATCAATCAGACTCCTACTTAAGAAAATCTTTAAGGGTTTGGGCTGTTTCAAATGGAGTCACGCTCCTACTTACATGGCTGTCTGTTCCATTTAAGAGGAATTTGATCTGGCACAAAGAAGGTAATGTGGAATAAACTAGGTGGCCAGATGCAACACTGAACGGGGTTGCTGAGTATTTTATGGAATTTGGGCAGGTGCCACTTTTCTCACCTTCAGGGGACAAACTGCCCCTGCTGAGGCTTTCTGCACTTCATAACACATGAGCCAGCCTTCCCCACCCCAAGCCACCGGCCGTGCTGGCTGAGGATTGTGGACACAATGGGCCAATGTCCTGCACCATGCCTGAGAGGAGCAGGGTTGGGAGTAGCAGGACAGAGCAAATGCTGCACACAGGGCTCTGTTCTGCCCTCCAACAGAGGGGAATGGCTGAGGGATCACTTCCGCTGCCCCATAGCCCCACAGTATCCATTGCTTGAGGCTGTTGCCTTCCTCTGCCAAATGGCAGGGCTGGCTCTGTCTCACACTGCCCAAAAAACAGTACAAGAATTCAGAGAAAACCTGACAGCCATCCATCTCAGTTACCAGCAAGCAGATTTGCTATCCAGAACAACATTAACCTTTAAAGAGCTTGCATGGCTTAGGACAAGTATACTTCAAGGACAACTTGCTCCGACATGAATCTGCCTAGACCTGAGATAGTGGTTAGAGGCCCCTTTTCAGGTCCTGCTGCCATCTGAGGTAGGCTGGGTAGGGATACCATACACAGGCCTTTTCACTGGTAGCATTCTATCCTGGATTGACTTGTCTGGCATCATTTTGTTTTCTTTCCACCATCAGGTGAAAACTTTATTTTGCTGAGGCCTTTTAGATTTTTTTTAAAACCTCACCATTACAGTCTTAAGTGTCCAAACATTGCTAACATTTTGTGATGTCATGCGATTTCAGTTTGATGATTGCTGCTTTTGCTGCCACTCTGAAGCTCTTTTTAGAATTAAAAGCAGGGTAGAAATATTGGTAGGTAAAATAAAATTCCACCAAAGGAGTTTTCTTAGGACTATTCAAATGCATCAGAGAAAAACTCTTGAACTAATGCTGTATAAAGCTTTCTGGGAGAAGGCACATATCTTTGCCAAGCTACCCATGTATTTCATAAAATAAAAAACAAGCAAGCCTTCTCTCTCCTCTTCCTGCTAGTAAGACTTAATTTGACAGTAGATCCATAGATGTCTGCTCACCAATAGCTTGAAATGACTGGCTGGGTTACCTGGCATGTGAGCATACTTGAGTGAAGGTATATTTGGCCATGTGAATCAAGAGGCTGATGTATCTTTCTATTTATGAGTGATTTCCCTACCCAGCCATTTCAAGTGGCAAAGTTAAGGGCTGGGCAGTATTTCTTCCGATGTTTTGTTGAGACAAAAAGGAACAAACAATCATTTTAGGGAAGGATAATAGATCTTTAAAGAAGCTCTGATATGTCCATTAAATAAAGTTTGTTTGATACCCTGATCAGGGTTGCCACTACCACTGGGGAGATGCCGGGTGCTGAAGACACCCTGGGACTCATAATCCCAAGGGAAACAACTAGCACGGATGCGGATGTTTCTGTACCTTGTTTCATAGGCTTGAGGATGAGCTGGAACTGTGCAGCACCCCCTCTCCCCATCCCTGGAAGCAATGTCAGTGACCGATCCCTGAACTCCAATTCTGTTGATCTGTCCCATCTGTGTGAGATAGGATTTGCTAGACAGTGGTGCTGGCAGCAGAAGAGGCTGCTGGGTAATTGGTGACCCAGATAAACCACTATGTGGAACAGCTGGGGCCTGACAAGCCTTGTAGATCTCTGCAGGGAGGAAAAAATGTGCAGACAGGGCTCCCTGGAGCATGTGGGAGTTGGAAATGTTCAGTCAGGGGTGAGGGCAAGTCTGGGTGAGGGAGGGAGGGCAAGACTGAGGCATGGCTTCAGGATACCGGTGACTAATGCCCCAGCAGCAAGGAGAGAGGTGAAGTGGGGTTGCGAAGTCTAGACCCCATGAGAGGGCTCCTGACTCTCAAAGACTTGCATAGAAGCAAAAACTTCACTCGGTGTCACTTTTCTCTGCATCACAAAGATGGGAGATGTGAATCTCACTAGGCATGGCAAAAGCCACTTGCCTATGCAACCCCAGAAGGTGACATCTAGGAGCCTCTTAAGGCTGTACACCTCACAATGGGAGCTCTGGATTCTGTTTGAGGGATGTTGCCAGACTGGCTAGATTTCCTTGAGGTCCCCATATCACCTGGATTCACCTTCCAACATTTTATTTCTTAGATTTATATCCCGCTATTTTCTTACAATCTCAAAGGGGCTCACACAATTCTTCTCCTGCTCTCAGTGTTATTTCAGCAACAACAACCCTGTGAGGTAGGTTGGGCTGAGATTCTGTGACTGGCCAAAACTCACCCAGTTGGCTCCATGGGTGAGTGGGAACTAGAATCCAGGCTGCCTGAATCCTGGTATCACAATTTTAGCCCAAACACCACACTGGCTTTCTTTGCATATTTTTGTTGCTCGCTCTTTGCTTAGTAGGGCCTGCTGGGAAGGGCCTGCCTGGAGCAGAGTTAGGTGACTCTAGCAAACTCCAGGCTTTTCCCTCCCTTTTAAGACTGCCAGAAGACTCATGCCCTTTGAAGAGAGAGGTGCAGAAACACTTCCAGTCCAAGGGCCAAATTCCAGCTCAGAGAAGTTTTAGGAAGGGTTGTATTCTAGAAGGTGGGAACAAGGCCGAAGGGCTGGAGTCAAAATGCCAGCATATTTTAACTTAAAGCTGTAAGAAAGTTATATCACCTTTTAGAATGAGGGGAAAGCTGCACAAAATCTGCAAAAGCACTGCTCAGTTAGTGGTTGAGCAACAGAGGATGTGTCATGAGGAAGGATTTTGACCTTCTGGAAACCCTGAGACCTGCGATTCAACCTAAAATTGCACAGAAAGGAAAATTCAGCCAGGACTGTGGTTTTTCCTAGCATTGTAGGAAAATCTACTGAGAAAATCTGCCTCTTGTGAAATTCTGCTTTCCATAGAATGCATAATGGGAGTGAGAGCATTCCCAAGGTTTGGACCTGGCAAGTTTAAATAAACTTTTTTTCTATTTATTTATTTGGCT